TCAAATAGACTTTTTCAGTGGATGAACTCATCATGGTCTTGATCTCTTTGCTCATATTCTCATTCCTCCCACTCTTCAACGGTACTTTGGGAGCTCAGTCCAGTGCTCCAATGTGGTTCTCTGCCTCTGTTTCCATCAGTTGCCAGACAAAGGTTCTGTAGTGATATTTAAGATAATCATCAGTCTGATTACAAGGCAAATCAAGATCGGGACCCTCTCCTCTGTTTCTTAGGGTCTTAGCTGGAGTCAGCCTTGTGGATTTCTGGGAATTTCTCTAGAGCTAGGTTTCTGCTAACTCCATAATGGCTCCATCAATTAAGATATCTCTTTCCTTGCTCCCATCTCTGTCCTTCCTCCATCTTGACTATCCCATTCCCCCAAGTTCTCCTCAACCCTCCCCTTCTCCCCTCTTCTTCTCCTTCCACCCTCTTTTCTCCTTCCACCCCCATGCTCCCAATTCTGTCAGATGATTTTGTCTGATTCCAGTTTCCAGGTGGATTTATATATGTTTTTCTTTGGGTTCATCTTACTACTTAGCTTCTCTAGGATCATGAACTATAAGCTCAATGTCCTTTGTTTATAGCTAGTATTCACTTATGAGTGGGTACATACTATATTCATCTTTTGGGGTCTGGTTACCTCATTCAGGATAGTGTTTTCTAATTCCATCCATTTGCATGCAAAATTCAAGATTGTTTTTTACACTGAGTATAACTCTAATGTGTAAATGTGCCACATTTTCTTTATCCATTCTTTGGTTGAGGGGCATCTATGTTGTTTCCAGGTTTGGGTTATACAAATAATGCTTCTATGAATATAATTGAACAAATGCCTTTGTAGTATGATTGAACATCTTTTGTGTATATGCCTAAGAGTGGTATTGCCGGATCCTGAGGTAGGTTGATTCCCAATTTTCTGAGAAACTGTGGGTCTCTGCACCTACCTCTGTCAGTTGCTGGATGAAACCTCTCTGACGATAATTGGGTCAGGCATCAATCTGGTCACAGGAGACAGCCAGTTCAGGCTACTTATACACACTGGGAGTGTACACTGGGGTCCTCACCGTAGATTCCTGGGAGGTTCCTCTGTGCCAGACTTCCACCCAACTCTGAAATGCCCCCCAGCAGTCTCTATCAGTGCCCCCGCTACGTGATAGTTCATGTTCCCATCCCTAACTGCCCTTAGTACACTCACAAAATCTCTTTTATTTTCCCTTCCCAGGGAGATCTGGGTGTCCCCCAAGAATCCTCTTTGTTACCTGGTCTCTCTGGGTCTATGAATTGTAGTATAATTATCCTTTATTTTACAACTAGTATCCAATTATGAGTTATTACATACCATGTTTGTCTTTCTTAGTCTGAGTTACCTCACTCAAGATGATTTCTTTTCTAGTTCCACTCATTTGCCTTCACATGTCCTTGTTTTTAAAACAGCTGAGTAATACTCCATTGTGTGAATGTATCACATTCTCTTTATCCATTCCTCAGTTGAGGGACAACATCTAGGTTGTTTTCAGGTTCTGGCTATTATAAATAAAGCTGAGCAAGTGTCTTTGTGGTATTATTGATAATTCTTTGGGTATATGCCCCAGAGTGGTCTTGTGGTAGGTTGTTTCCCAGTTTTCTAAAATACCACCACACTGACTTCCAAATTCTTGGTACAAGTTTGTGCTCCCTCCAACAAAGAAGGGGTGTTCCCTTTCTTCTATATCCTCTCCAGTATGAGCTGTGGCTTGTGTTTTTGACCTTAACCATTCTGACAGGTATTAGATGGAATTTTCAGTCATTTTGATTTGCATTTCCTTTATGGCTAAGGATGTCGAACATTTCTTAAAGGGTTTCTCAGCCATTTGAGATTTTCTTTGAGAATTTTCTGTTTAGGACTGTACCCCATTTTTAATTGGATCATTTGATTTATTGGTATCTAATTTGTTGAGTTCTTTATTTCTGTACATAAATTATATCATTTCTCTAGATAAGTTTGTTTCTCTAGATAAGTTATATTTGCTTGGGTGGTATTTGAAGTCCTCAGGCCAACTCAATAGTTATATCAGAAAACAGGTAAACAGGTTGAGTCAAATATGGATATTATACAAAACATCAAATCCTTAAAATCAGTTTTTGACACTGAATAAAGTGTAAAGGGATTAAAAAATACATCAGGAACCTAAGCATATATGCAGCATCTTTTTCTTTTTTTCAAGACAGGGTTTCTCTGTAGCTTTGGAACCTGTTCCACTAGCTTTTATAGACCATGCTAGCCTCGAACTCATAGAGATTTCCCTGTCTCTGTCTCTTAAGTACTGGGAATAAAGGCACCACCTGGCTGCATGTATCTTTTCCATGTAAAATTAGCTATTGGCTATACATAGTTTATGTATACACTATGTATTTGCTACAACATATACTTCATAGGATCATGTGTTTGAATATTTGTTCTCCAGCTGATGGTGCTATTATGGGCAACTTTGGAACCTTTATTACTTGATGCCTTGCAGAAGGAAGCAGATCATGGATCAAGATTTGGGAGCTTGATAACCTACTTACCTACCTCCTGCCCACTCTCTTTGAAGACCCACACTTAATGCCATGCTTCTGTACATGGACTATAAACCAAAACAAATAAACAAAACCCTTTTCTCCCCAAAACTGTTTCTTGTCAGGTATTTGGTCACAACAATGGGAAAGGAACTAATACAGAAAATTGGTAACAATAAGTGGGTCACAGAACTATAATAAACATGAACAACCTTAACTTTTATTTGCTATGTAATTATATTCAAAACTTTATATTTTTATTTACAATTATATGATAATTATAAATATTTAATAGAAAAGATATGACAAATGCGATTTTGTTAAAAAGGTCTTACATTTAAAAAAATCTCTAAGACCCAAAGCATTAGGCCACAATGATTATTGTGATTTTTATAAAAAGCAATTTTATGTGGTGGGTAAAGAAGCTAATGGAATTTCATTTGAAAACAAAACATACTTGAGTTAATAAATTCTGAAAAAAAACAGAACTCAAAATGTTTCACATAGGGAATAAATAACATAAATGTTTTAATATGTATATTTGATTTTCCATAATTGAAGTTCTTCATATTTAGGTAAATTAAATAACCCAAACTCAAGGTTTTTCCATTTTAATAAACAATTCCTGTAACATGAAAAGAAATTTATTACAAGATTTCTTTTGGTAGAAATACACTCCTAAATTAAAATAATGGTATATCTGGAAGATGTAAGATAATGTAAACTTTCTATGCAATTTCTAGTTGTGTGATTAAAAAGCAATTTTAATCATTTTTTTGTCTGCATTAAATGTTCTGCTATCCTGAGGTACATTCCTTTGAATCTGGAAGAGAAACTCCAGTAAAGTCTGTCCCTACCGAGGCCAGTCATCATCTTTAACTTCCTCATAGAACTATTATTACACCCCTTTCACATGTCAGTATGCTAGCAGAAAGGCAAGCATAGTTAGCAGAGGACAAATTCATGGTCCTGTAAGGAAAGAAAATCAAAACAGCAATCTTCTTTGATGTGGAAATAGCAAATGCAATAGAGGGAAAAATAGTCAAAAGTCCAAATAATTTATAAAAACAGAGGCCAAATTTGTATTCTACACCAGTGCAGCCTTGTTTGAAAACTTCTGCTCTTGGAGTAAAGATTTAACAACTACAGTTATTTATCTTTAAAGCCATGTCAGCACAATCAGAAGTCATCAAGACTGGACTACTGCCTGAATTGGAACTTCATGGCTCATCACAACCTCTTCTGAAGCTTAAATCCTACTATCTTCTTTCATTTGTGTTCTATAATATGATGACCAACAAAAAAAACCCTCAAAATTTAGAATGTTGTATTATATGACAATCTAAAACATTCAAAACAATGAAATAGTTTAACTTATTTGAAGTGCACAGAAGTTTTTCCAAAGGCTTAGAAAAGTCCAATTATGTGGTGTGTGATGCAAATGAGAGTGGAATCTAACATTATGCCTCATTACAATATTTAAAAAAATTTTTTAAGACAAGGTTTCTCTGTAATAGCTCTAGCCATGCTGGAACTAGCTATGCAAACAAGGCTGGCCTCACGAGTACTGGGATTAAAGGCATATGTAACCGCCCAGTTACAATATTTTTAAATTGAAAGTTCCCTACAGGAACACTATGTGTAAACATGGGTAAGATAATCCCAGATTTGTTTTGTGGAAACTTTTGAAATAGCTAACGTCTTCAGGGTAAAGTTTTCCTTCTAGTATCTTCTACAGAGCTGTATTTGTAGATAGATAATATTTATGCTTGGCTTTGTCACAGATTTTTTTTCCTCTATCTATTGTGATTGATAGTTTTATGGTACATGGTAGTAGTCTGGGCTGGCATCTGTGTTTCTTAGAGTTTGTAGAACATTCATCCAGGCCCTTCTGGCTATTCGAGTCTCCATTGAAAAATCAGGTATTCTTCTAATAGGTCTGGTTTTATATGTTATTTGGTCTTTTTTCCTTAATGCTTTTAATGTTCTTTCTTGTTCTGTACTCTGTACCTTTAGTTTATTGATTATTATGTATCATGGAGAATTTCTTTTATGGTCACATTGTAGTCACTCTCAGGAAGGAGAGAAGGAGTGTATGACTAGAAAATAAAGCCTCAATACTTTCTCCCAGTAACATACTTCCTTCAACAAACTCAGCCTCCTAAAGGTTCCACTACTTTCCCAAATTACACCACCAGCTCTGGGACCCATTGTTCAAACATGTGAGCTTATAAGGGGCATTCAATTCATGTTATGGAAGAGGTTAATATGAGTATCCAGCGTTCTTTACTGGTGGAATACATATGATATAAAATCTTTGTAGCCTCATATTAAGGGAATTTTCTAGAAGACGCCAATGAGAAGCAGGTAAATAATAGTAGCCATTTTTGGTTACTCCTAGGTGTTCTCTACTTACTTCTATATAACAATGGATATGTAACATCTGTGTCTGTCTTTCTTTAGGAGGTTGTGCGGTTCCTTGACACCAAGCATCCAGACCACTATCAAGTCTACAATCTCTGCAGTATGTATACGGCTCACTTTTGTATTTCTGTGGATAGAGAATAGATTAGTTTTGACTCCTCTCTTACGTTTTATTTATTTGTAAGTATTTAGTGGCAGAGAGTCAGAGCAAAACTTCCCATCTGGTATTAACTTCATGTGGTAGGAACATTAGCTCACCAAGCACAAAGCACTCTGTGAGGGAGGCAGAGGTGAGCCTAGAAGGGCAGAACAGGCAGAGCCAAGATGAACCATGTTAGAGAATATCTGTTCTTAAGTCAGAAAATCTTTAGTTCCTTCTAGGTTACGTTGAAGGTGCACTCTAACCTACATGGAGTAGGTTGTTATAAGGAGAGAGTCCTGAGTTAAGACAAAAACAAAAGGGCAACCCTTTGGAAATATTATACCTCAGTACCACCCTGTCTCTGGTGATTTGTTCAATGCCTGTAAATTAATGACCATTTTTCAGGAGCCAACATCTCCACCAGCTACATTTGTCTCTGTTCTGTGGCTTCTAAAACTCACCACGATGTACTGAGAAGGCATTAGAAAGCTGAAGTTGAAGCTGCCTTTACAACTTGAGTTTAGTTTGTCGGAGATGAAATATCACCAAACATTTTTTTTCTTTTTTGCAATTCTGAAAATATTGTTTTTAGAACAAACAGAAGACAACTTTTGAAGATAGATAAGAAATTTTCTATTTGAGACTTTAAATCTATTTATAATTTTATTGTTTACTATGTGACTAGGCATAGATGTATGACATATATTATTTATTTTAGGTGAGAGAGCTTATGACCCTAAGCACTTCCACTACAGGGTCCGCAGAATCATGATTGATGATCACAATGTCCCCATGCTTGAGTAAGTTTTACTCCATATTGACTGTCAGAAAAGGGCTAAACACCTTGGGTTCAGTTTTCAAAAATGATTATTTTGGAATTTTTTGATAGCTAATATAAAGCCTTTATTGGTTTACAGGCTCTAGGAAAAAGGGTTCACAACTCCAACCCTTCACTTTGCTTTTAATTTCACTGGAGGTGCAAAGTTCATGAATAAAACATATCTTCATTCGTCATCCTTGCTGATATTAGTCACTGCTTTCTCTGCTTCTTGTTCACCAGAAGCAAGAGACTTACAGTAGCAACATGAACCTCAGAGGCTCTTCCTGAAACAAAGATTCTCTCTGTGTAGGGACAAGGAATTGTGATTTACTAGAAAAAGAATAAAATGGATTTAAAGGGAAATTTATGGAGCAAATAACCAGATGTGTTGATGATATGATATGTAAAAGAGCCCTTGTAATCACATGGGGTGGAAATTAACATGACCCCATATCCTTTTTAATTGAATGAAAATCTCATTTTTGAATTCAGGGAAATGCTGTTATTCTCCAAGGAAGTAAATGATTGGCTGGCTCAACATCCTGAAAATGTTGTGGCAATTCACTGTAAGGGAGGAAAAGGTAATGCTGCCTATCTTTCATTTCCTTTTTGAAAAGAAACATGCATGAGTTTCTAATCTGTTGTTAATCATATTAATCATTAACACTTTAAAATACTGGCTTTAAAACAGAAGGAATGCAAAAAGAAAGGGAAGGAAATAGTGGAAGGGAAGAAAGGACAACAAGAGGGAAGGAAAGAAAGAGAGTTAAAGAAGGTTGGAAATATTTTCCCCTGCATACTAAATATTTGGATTATTTTACTCTTAACTTGACAATGTAAGTCTGTTAAAATACCAATGATATTTTTTTATCTTTAGCATAGAATAACACATTATTTTAAGGCTATTTTTTGTTTAACTGGCATAGATTATATATATTTATGATATGCATTATATGTTTGTAATAATATTTACTGTGGAGTGGCTGAATACAACTAATTAACATATGTATCACTTTATCATACTTATTTTATTGTGATTAACATGCTTTTTCTTGATGACTGGTGACCGTGAGCATTTTTATATAACTTGATCACATGTATGTTTTCTTTTGGAAATACCTTTGAACTCTACCTTTTTGTTGGTTTTATTATTATTGCTGTTATTTGTTTAGAAAGGTTTTTTTTGTTTTGTTTTGGAATTGTTTGTTTCTTTTCCTTGAGACAAAGTTTGTATAACTTTGTCCAAAACCCAGACAGTCCTTGAACTACCTATGTATTCCAGGCAGGCCTCCAACTCATGATCCTCCTGTTTCCTTCCAAATACTGAGATCACAGACATGATTACTAACCATGTTGCTGGTTTATTTTAGAAAAGATGTACTCTTCTTTTATTTAACTTTATTTTTTTAAATGATAGAAAGCAAACCATCTTCTTTCATTTTACATGCCAATCTCAGTTCCCACTCCCTCCCTTCCACCTTGCCCCCTACTCCACCCCCATTCACTCCTCAGAGAAAATAAGACACTTTGCTTTGAGAAAGGTCCAAGGCCCTCCCTACCATATCTAGGCTGAGCTATGTATCCATCCAAAGAGAATGGATTCCAAAAAGTCAGTACTATCAGTAAGGATGTGCTGTTAAATATCACAGTATTAAACAGTATCAAAAAAACTCACATACACTCTCTCATACCATACACATACCACACACATATACACACAGTACTCACACACCACATGCATTCACATACAATACACATGCACACAGCATACACACACTCACACACCAACACACCACACACGTACATACACACATTCAAATACCACAAATACATACTCGCATACCACATAGACATTATTCACCACCACATACACAGCTGTCACAAAATCAACCAAGTGCTCTCTAAAAAAATTTCCTAGGACTCTAAGCCCTTCTCGAGTTCCTAGTTGGTGGAGATAAATTGCACAGATCAGTATAGAAAAGATGATCTCAGGGAGGTCAAAACAGTCACTTAGCCCTAAACAGTGGAGACAGTGAATATTGGTGGCTATTAGTAAGTGGAACCCTGTAGGCTCCTCAAAAACTAAAACATTTAGCAAATTAATAACCTCCAACCAAAGCACTTTTCCAGATAATTGGGCCTAGCATGGAACCAATTCATCTTCACCAAAACCCAAACTCAAATCCCTTTTTATTCACACAACAAAGCAATCAATCAATGCTACCATTGCTGTATACTAAAGCATTACCTAGCCACTGCTTGGATGTCCCCAGAGCTCTAGCCATTAACTCAGCTAGCCACTAGCAGCAGTTGAGCTGACATCACTTCAAATGATGTACTAAAATGAGATATTTAATGAGATACTCTCCATCCCTGAAATAGATGGCAGTGATTCTTGGGGTCAGGTTCTTTCTCTTTGATGACTCTGCCATACTGCTACGGGTTTTGAGGATCCTGCTATTTACCATTCTACTGAAGATCCAAGGTACAGAAATTGGCGCAAGGAAGCATGTTTGTGCAAAGTCTGCCTTGAAGAGGGCAAAATTGAGTACCTGACTCAAATCTTTATCTCAACTTCCAAAACAAAATGAGACATTTGTGCAAGAAAATACTGTGTGTGTGTGTGTGTGTGTGTGTGTGTGTGTGTGTGTGTGTGCAGATGGATGATGGGAAGGAAATTCTGGGCCATTAGCATAAGAACTGTAATGACTTTGAAAGCAGTCTGGACTGCATGAGACTACAAGTAATTTTTTTTAAATTAATTAAGAACTTTTAAATGGAAAGAAAAATAGGCATTGCAAATGCTAGATGGTATTGTGGGTGTTTTGTTTCTATCAATTACAAAAGCCAGGTCTGTAAGAAGTACTTTAGTCTTGGATTTCCAACAGAGCTAATTGTCTTTACCATCACTGCAATGTCAGCATTGAGACGGAAGAAAAGTCCACAGTATAATGGTGAGTTCCAAGTGCTTCCAGAGCAGTGATTTGGGATACTTCTAAACTAAAATATTTGGGACAAGTGTAACATGAGGGGACCAGTTTGTTGGGGTTTCTATTTCGCCTGATACCCCACAGCTGGCAAGCCCCAAAGAAAATCACACAGAGGACTCCACTGATTGACTCATTAGCTCAGGCTACTTATTAGCTCTTACAACTTATGTTAGCCCATTATTTTATCTATGTTAGCCACAAGGCTCAGTACCTTTCTCAGCAGGGCAGCTTACATCATGCTTCTCGGTGGTCTGGGCAGGAATGCGGAGAGAGCTTCCTGTTTCCCAGAATACTCCTATTCTCATCTGCCCAGCCTCTTCTTCCTGTTTGGTTGACCCACTTATACTTTTTGCCTGGACAATCAGCGTTTTTTTAAAACATGATTGATAGACAGACAATTCTCCTGCACCATTTCCCCCTCTTTTTTTCTAAACAAAGGAAAATATCCATAGTCCATTTGTTGGGAATGTGGACGTAGTATTCCAGGCTACTTCCAGCTGGTTGGGGGCACCGATAATCTTATGGAGACCGAAAGAAAATTTAGAGTTATAATCAAGTCCTGACTGGAGTATCTTGTAAGTCTTGATCATCTCAGGCAGCAGTCTTGAATCTGTTTTGGATATAGAACTCAGACATCCAGGCCATCTGTTCCTACCAGAGATTTTTCAGGTGGTCTTCCTTGATCAAACCAGATTTTTCTTATCTCAGAATGAATCCACAGCCTCTTATTTTCTGTGGAAACAAAAGCAAAATCTCTTCTCCAAAGTAAAATACCTTTTGACTTCAATTTTGAAGTCAAGGTATTTTCAAAATACCTTTCCTGGATTAGTTCAACAGCATTTATAAGCAAATACCTTTTAACAGCTGTTGCTACTTCCTCAGCATCAAACAATTCAAAGAGCGCATAATAGCATACATTATCAAGATTCTCTGTATATTTTCCATTTTTATGAGGCTTTACTTTAACCTCTATTCCTTTTATTTCTACTTTTACTTTTAGAGACAGGTTCTCTGTATATCTTTGTCCTGGAATAACTCTGCAGACCGGGCTGTCCTTGAATTCACAGAGGTCTGTCTGCCTCTGCCTCCCAAACTTTGGGATTAAAGACATGTACTACCACACCTTGAAGTCACAGAGGTCAATCTACCTATGCCTCCCAAGTGTTGGGATTAAAGGTATATACCACCACACCCAAGTACTCTCTTTCTTTTTTTAAGAACTTTAACCTTTTTTAAGCCTGCATATATATTTTAACACACTATAAACCATTGAGAGTTTTTTTTAATCTCCCCCTCTTTACTGTATATCTTTCCTTTTCTGACTACATGAGTCTTCAAGGAGAAGATTAAAGCTGTGGCTTTGATGGCTAGATGCAGCTCATTTCTTAGCTTTCCAGCCTCATGGCAGAGGTACCGCTGGAGCCATTTTTATTGCCACAACTCTGTGGTGTTTCAAGGTCCCTGCCAGCAAGCAAGCTGCAGCATTCTGCTCACAGACCACATTCAATTGGACTGCCTGCCTGAAAGAGTCAGAGTTTGCCCTGGCAGGACAGCCCTGAAAGCCAGCATTTTAAAGCAGTGCAGCTTTTTTCCTGCTACAGTTGAAAACCAAAAAGCATGCATTCAGCTTTTCATCAACATAGTTTAAGTGTTGGGTGGTAGGACCTCTTAAAAGAGCTTCTAGATTTTGCAGCTAAAGCTGAGTCAGTAAGCCTCTCTTAAATGAGAGCACTTGTCTCTAGCGAGTAGAGCCCGTCTGAGAGATTGCTGCTACCAAGAAACCATACACAATGCTGTCATTTTGTACTAGAATTACTTCTCAAGCTGTCTCAGGCTTTATGTGAATGCAGTTATTCACATGGGTGCCATTCTGTAGCATGAGGGGGCCGACTTGTTGGGGTTTCTGTCCCGCCCAATACCCCACAACCAGCAAGCCCCAAAGAAAATCACACAGAGGACTCCATAAGATTATAAACTGATTGGCCCATTAGTTCAGGCTATTTGTTAGCTCTTATAACATATATTAACCCATTATTCTCATCTATGTTAGCCATACGGCTCAGTACCTTTCTCAGCGGGGCAGCTTGCATCATGCTTCTCGGTGGTCTGGGCGGAGGGAGCTTCCTGCTTCCCAGAATACTCCTGTTCTCATCGCCCAGCCTCTACTTCCGGTCTGGTTTACCCACCTATACTTCCTGCCTGGCCAATCAGCGTTTATTTAAAACATGATTGACAAAATACAGACAATTCTCCCGCACCAGACAAGCACATTTACTTATGCAAAATGCATTTTGAGAATTTCTGCTTTAGTGCAGAAATTGACCTTGGGGTTTCTTCCTCAATTGTCTTTCTTCTTAAAATGTATTCTGTATTAATGTTTATGGTCTCTCTCTCTCTCTCTCTCTCTCTCTCTCTCTCTCTCTCTCTCTGTGTGTGTGTGTGTGTGTGTGTGTGCATGTATGGTGCATGTGTGGAAGTCAGAGGATGATTTTGGGGCATTGATTCTCCCCTGTGGTTCTGGGGATTGAATTTAGGTTGTCAGGCTACCACCAGTAGCCTTTAAGTCACCCACCCACTTGGGTGTGGCCTCTTATACTATTTATGCCAATGTAAAGAGTGCATCAGGCCTCTTTTCTGGCTGCAGGATTGTGATCTGTGAATATACTCCTAAATAAATAATCCACTATTATTCTCAATTCTGAGCTAGTGTGGGATTTCTTTTAAGTGTCCTTCTTCATCTTTATCCACTGAGCCATTTTGCTGGCTCTCCACCTTATTTTTGAGACAGGGTCTCTCACTAGCCAACTGTTTTGACTACTCTGGCACTGGCCAACAGACCTCTGAATTTTGACTCCACCCAGTGCTGGCATCAAGGTTGATACTAACATGACAGCTTTTTACATGGCTTCTATGATCTTAATTCAAATCCTGAATCTTTTCTTTTCAAGAATTAAGCCATCTTCCCAGGTCTATGGAATGAGTTCTTAAGTTGAGCACTACTATGAACAATGATTCTTTAAATAGCCTTCTTTTCTTTCTAGGAAGAACAGGAACCATGGTTTGTGCCTGTCTCATTGCCAGTGAAGTAGTTTTAAAGGCAAAGGTATGAAAAGGCATCTACTCTGCTGTGGAATGAATCTACTTACTCTGAAGCATCACTGTGTTATGATGATTCTTTGAGCCATGGCTCATAGAAGAGGTGTTTTTCAGAAACATCTGGCTTTGGTACCCCCTTGTTTAATGCGCAATTTGTAATTGACCTATCACTTGCACTGGGCCAGGACTAGGCTGAGGTCAAAGAGACACAAAATCTAAGGGAAAGCACAATACTCCAGTAGATATCTCTCCTTAGGCAAAGTCCATGTGTGGGAGATATCTGACCTCACTAACAATGTCTGAGGAGACAAGTTGTGCTCTTTCCAGATACTTAAAACACATTTTTTTCTTTTTACATTTATTTTTGTGTGTTTGTGTTCTCTTTTTTCACTGTGTGGGTTCTGGACTTCAAACTCAAGTCATCAGTTTTGGCAGGAAGCTCCTTTACCTGCTGAACTGTTTTGCTTGTCCTGTTTTCACAGTTTGAAACAGAATTCTGTCATTTGCCTTCAGGGGCTTGCTGGGAGTTTAGCACTTACAAACTCTGTTTATCTCTCTTATAGTCTGTAGAGGAGGATCTTTAACTTATAAACACAACAACTTCCAGAATCCCACCACCTTTTCTGTTTTATAATCGAGACACAGGTTTTGAAAATGAGTGCTTTATCCTGATTTCCTGTAGTCCCTGGAGGCTGTGGGTGATACCATGCCTGCCCTAGGACTATGCCTGGGAGCCAAGGAAATAGGTGAAAGAAAAAAAAAGGTGTCCTGAGACAGTGTTTTTAAAATTACAAATCAATAATTAATGAAATGATAAAATCAACTTAATGGAGGGTTAGGGAGATGGTAAAGGGCCTGCTGTACAAGTATAAGGACCTGAATTCAGAACCTTAGCACCCACATAAAAACATGGTAGCATGTGCCTGTCCATAACTCCATGATGGATGGGTAGGGAACTAGAGAGAGGTGGCTCACTGGAGATCACTGGACATCTTGCCTAAGCAAATCGGAGAGCTCCATTGGAGAGAGTAGGGAGATAGACCTGTGGGTGAAGAGCCCATGGCTAGAGCATGAAGACCAGAGTTCAGATTCCTAGCACCTATGTGAAAAGCCATGCACACACTGTGCATGTGTGCTCCTGTAACTTCAACACAGGAGGGTCTGCAGAAGTGCTTGCTGGCTTGCCAATCTAGTTGAATGAGTGAGGTTCAGATTCAGTGGTACCCTGAATTAACCTACCTGGTTCACTGACTGGTGTATGACTCAATTTCCTTGTTTGTAAAATGGAAAATAGAAGGGTTGGGCCAGATGCTTTAGCCTTTCCATGTATTTATGAGTCTTCAGTATAAAGACATCCCTGATGCGGCTTTCTATCTGGGCTCTTTGGGACAGCCACCACCCAGAGACTGCCATCTTAAGGAAGTCAGACTCCAGGAATTCCTGGATTAGGAAAACAAAGAGTGCAGCTAAACCATTCCTGTGTTGTCCTCTTTCCCATAGGAAAGTCTTTACTTTTTCGGGGAGCGGCGAACAGATAAAACCACCAGCTCTAAGTTTCAAGGAATAGAGACCCCTTCTCAGGTAAAAAAAAATCTCTGTTTTGAGAGTTCTACGGGAGGGCAAGAGGCATCAACACTTGTCATTAGTTTCATGTCCCACCCTCCAAGTCTGATGACCAGTTGTTGACAGTGCTCAGGTGCCCTGGGTCAGGCTTTTCTCCCTCCCTGAGGCCCCACCTCAGATGCAAAATCTGTGGTCTACCTAGAACATTCTACTTTACATTTTATATTTCTTAATTTTTCAGAGTTAACAAATTGATTTTCCCTTCCAAGAGTAGGAGGGTTCTGACCTAAAACCATCCTATAAAATCTACTACCACTCACTTTCCTGACATATATTCAGACACATGAATAAATCAATCCCTAAGGAACATCACAGGAACTGTTACTGTAAGAGTCGTGTGTTTGTATCTATGTGTGTCTGTGTGTGTCTGTGTGTTCCTGTGTGTCTCTCTGTATGTGCCTGTGTCTGTGTCTCTCTCTCTGTGTGTGTGTGTGTGTGTGTGTGTGTGTGTGTCTGTGAATATGTATTGTAAGGGGTAGGAGGCAGAGAGAGAGAAAAAAATATATTTTAAAGAAGATAGAGCCAGGCAGTGGTGGTACATGTCTTTAATCCTAACAAAAAAGCAAAAAAAAGGCAAAAGCAGGTAGATCTTTGACTTTGAGGTCTTCCTGGTCTACATAGTGAGTTCCAGGATAGTCATGGCTACACAGCAAATCCACGTCTCAAAAAACAATACAACAAACAGAATGAAAAGAAGAAATAAGTACTTTAGAAAACACGACTCAGAGTCAGCCATGGTGGCTCGTGCCTATAATCTTAGAGTGAGGCAGGAAGATTGCATTTTGAGGTGAGCCTACATAAACCCTTATCTCTGATATATTTATTACATATCAGATAAGATTGTATGTCATATATATGGGTTTGTGTATCTAAATATCACACTTAATTCTATAAACTAAGCATTGTAAAGTATATGCTATTTCCTTCTATTCTTTAAAAAACAGTTTATTATGGAATTTTCTAAATACAGGGAACTAGTGAGAATTGATAGTGCAGTGTATGTGATGTAGCAGTTTAAAGATGGGGAGGTTTGTCTGGTTCAGTTTGGGTTCACAGTCAGCTAGTTCCTTTTTTTGTCCCTGAGGGAGACAGTAGATGAGGAAGCCAAACCATAAAACTCAAATTTCAAACTATAACACATACACAGAAATGGAGCTTGACCACTTTATAGTTATCACACCACTTCAGCCCACCAACATTCATTCTCTACCCGTGCTCCGCAAAACCAAGTGCCACTCTTCACACCTTCTTTCCCTAAACCTGAATTATCTTGAACCAAATTCCACCTGACAGAGTGTTTTATCCCACAATTATTTCAGCATGACATCTGATATAAAGACTCTCTTAAAAATCCCTTAATATCCGTGAAACATGGTGACACTTGCCAGTACTCAGAAGGCAAAGATGGGTAGATCTCTATGCATTTAAGAAGGCCAGCCCAGGCTACATAGAGAATTCCAGGATAGCCAGGGCCACACAAGGAGACCCTGCCTCAAAGCAAAACAAAAACCTCCACAATATCATTTATCAAGGTTACCAGTGCAAGGACTCAGCTATGGTTTTGAGAGGTATTGGCAAGGTCATGGAATAGAGTGTCCTGTGTTGAGTACTGGTGACCTCAGCAGTTGGGTAGTAGTACTTATACACTACCACATTCTATGACTTGTGAATCACTCTACTGGATACATTACTGTTGCAAGGAGAGAGGGCCCACTTGTTTATCCTGGTCACCCGGCTAGCTTAGCCCAAAATAACCACACAGAAATTGTATTAATTGAATCATTGCTTGGCCCATTAGTTCTACCCTCTTATTGGCTAATTATCACGTCTTGATTTAACCCATTTCTTTTAATCTATATATCACCACGTAGCAGTGGCTTATTGGGAAAGATTCAGCATGTCTGTCTCTGGCATCTCCATGGCATTCCTTTGACTCTGCTTTCTTTTTTTTTTTTGAGAGTAAATTTTATTAAATTATAAAAGTTTCCATTTCCGCCCCTCTTCCCAACACCCTCCCACTCCCCCCACTTCCTCTCCTCCACCCTCATCATCCCTTAGGGCAGTCAGGGTTTCCTGCCCTGTGGGAAGTTCAAGTTCCTCCCCCCTCCCTCCAGGTCCAGGAAGGTGAGAATCCAAACAGACTGGATCCCCAAAATCCAGTATATGCAGAGGAAACAAGTCCCAGTATCATAGTCAATGGCTTTTCAGAAAGACTTCGGGCCAGCCACATTCAGAGAATCCGGCCAAATTCTGAGAATCTGGTTAGATCACGTCCTCGTTCAGTCCCAGTCCAACTGGCCTTGGTAAACTCTCATTAGATCCGTTCCCTTGTATCAGTGGGTGATAGCATCCCTCGCAGTCCTGATTTCCTTTTTCATGTTCTTCCTCCTTCTGCTCCTCATTTGGACCTTGGGGGGCTCAGTCCGGTGCTCCAATGTGGGTCTCCGTCTGTATCGCCATCCTTCGCCAGATGAAGGATCTATGGTGATAAGCAAAATATACATCAGTATGGTTATGGGCCACGATTGGTTCAGGCACCATCTCCTATGTCCAGAGAACAATCTGGGGGATCTCTCCTTGGACCTGGGATCCCATATATAAGCAAGTCTCCTGTAAACCATAAAATGACTGCCTTAGTTGAAATATATTCTTCCCTGATCCCATATTCATCCTTCCTCCCTACACCCCCCATCCCAGGCCACCGAGCTTTCCCCATTCTTCCCCTACTCCCTTCTCTCTAACCCTCTCCCCTTCCCTCAACCCTCCCACCCACCCCCATGCACCCGAGGTTACCTGAGACTCTTGTCTATTTCCTACCTCCTGGCGGATAGCTAAATAATCTTCATCAGGTTCATCTTATTTAGCTTCTCTAGGATCACGAATAATAGGCTCAAAGACCTTTAATTATGGTTAGAATCCACTTATGAGTGAATACATACCATGTTCCTCTTTTTGGGTCTGGCTTACCTCACTCAGTAAAGCGTTTTCTATTTCCATCCATTTGCATCCTAAATTCAAGATGTCATTGTTTTTTACCGCTGAGTAAAACTCTAATGTGTATATGTTCCACTCCTTTTTTAACCATTCTTCTATTGAGGGGCACCTAGGCTGTTTCCAGGTTCTGGCTATTACAAATAGTGCTGCTATGAACATAGTAGAACAAATGCTTTTGTAGTATGTTAGGGAATCTCTAGGGTATATTCCCAAGAGTGGAATTGCTGGGTCCTGAGGGAGGTTGACTACAGTTTCCTGAGAAACCGCCACACTGATTTCCACAGTGGCTGCACGAGTTTGCATTCCCACCAACAATGGATGAGTGTTTCCCTCACCCCACATCCTCTCCAGCATAGGCTATCATTGGTGTTTTTGACTTTAGCTATTCTGACAGGTGTAAGATGGTATCTCAAAGTGGTTTTGATTTGCATTTCCCTGATCGCTAAGGAGGTTGAGCTTGACCTTAAGTGTCTTCTGGCCATTCGAAGTTCATCTGTTGTGAATTCTCTGTTCAGTTCAGTACCCCATTTTTTAATTGGGTTAATTAGAGTTTTAGTGTCTAGTTTCTTGAGTTCTTTGTATATTTTGGAGATCAGACCTTTGTCTGATGAGGGGTTGGTGAAGATCTTCTCCCAGTCAGAAGGTAGCCTTTTTTCCCTACTGACAGTGTCCTTTGCTTTACAGAAGCTTCTCAGTTTCAGTAGATCCCATTTTTTCATTGTTTCTCTTATTGTCTGTGCTGCTGGGGTCCTACTTAGGAAGAGGCCTCCTGTGCCTATATCTTGTAGACTACTTCCCACTTTCTCTTCTAACAGGTTCAAAGTGGTCGGATTAATGTTGATGTCTTTAATCCATTTGGACTTGATTTTTGTGCATGGTGATAGATATGGATCTACTTTCATTTTTTTACAGGTTGACGTCCAGTTATGCCAGCACCATTTGTTAAAGATGCTTTCCTTCTTCCATTGTATACCTTTAGCTCCCTTGTCGAAAATTAGGTGTTCATAAGTTTGTGGGTTAATATCTGGGTCTTCTATTCGATTCCATAGGTCGACTTCTCTGTTCTTATGCCAATACCAAGCTGTTTTCAATACTGTTGCTCTGTAATAGAGTTTGAAGTCAGGGATGGTAATGCCTCCAGAAGTTCTTTTATTGTATAAGATTGTTTTGGCTATCCTGGGTTTTTTGTTTTTCCATATAAACTTGATTATTGTTCTCTCAAGGTCTGTGAAGAAGTTTGATGGGATTTTGATGGGGATTGCATTGAATCTATAGGTTGCTTTTGGTATAATTGCCATTTTTACTATGTTGATTCTCCCAATCCAAGAGCAGGGGAGGTCTTTCCATTTTTTGGTATCCTCCTCAATTTCTTTCTTCAAAGACTTAAAGTTCTTGTCAAATAGGTCTTTCACTTCCTTGGTTAGAGTAACCCCAAGATATTTTATGCTCTTTGTGGCTATCATGAAAGGTGATGTTTCTCTGATTTCCCTCTCTGCTTCTTTATCCTTTGTGTATAGAAGGGCCACTGATTTTTTGGAGTTGATCTTGTATCCTGCCACGTTACTAAAGGTGTTTATCAGCTGTAGGAGTTCTTTGGTAGAGTTTTTGGGGTCACTTATGTAAACTATCATATCGTCAGCAAATAACGAAAGTTTAACTTCATCCTTTCCAATACGAATCCCCTTGATCTCCTTATGTTGTCTTATTGCTATTGCTAGAACTTCAAGCACCTTATTGAAGAGGTATGGAGAGAGTGGACAGCCTTGTCGCATTCCTGATTTTAATGGAAAGGCTTTGAGTTTCTCTCCATTCAGTTTGATGTTAGCTGTCGGCTTGCTGTATATTGCTTTTATTATATTTAGGTATTATCCTTGTATCCCCAGTCTTTCCAACACCTTTATCATAAATGGGTGTTGAATTTTGTCAAATGCTTTTTCAGCATCTAGTGAGATGATCATATGGTT